GCAGTCATACCTCGTAACTTCTAGGGAAGATGTAAGAGACGCCCATATATTGTTATAATGACTCCCTGTTCTCACGTGTATTCTCTTCAATCGACTTTTGATGTCTTAACGCAAAGTAGTTTACGGGTCGTGTCTTTCAATTTTGCCACATTTTCCCAAACCAAATTACTAGTCTCGCTCAATAGAATACGATTTTAACTGATGCTGATATCACACATTTCATCTGAAGAACAAAACATTCCCCTATCTTCGAAAATGTGCTCAAAAAGAAAGGAACATCAACGAAGGTCCGTAGCTGCTTGAAGATACCGCTGACTAGCATACGTGTTGATCGCTTTGTAAGTTATAAGAACATCGTACCCAAGTTCCAGACCTCGTAATTTCTTCCCTTCCCTTCCCTTTCCTTCCCTTCCCTTTCCTTCCCTTTCCTTCCCTTCCCTCTCCTTCCCTTCCCTTTCCTTCCCTTCCCTTCCCTTCCCTTCCCTTTTCTTCCCTTCCCTTCCCCTTCCTTCCCTTCCCTTCCCTTCCCTTTCCTTCCCACCCCCGGACTGGTTCCTAAATCCCCTTGAAGAAACTCTTGTACAGCTAGTGCTGAAGAGTTTTATTACAGTTTATATTGTAGTGAATGGCTGGAAAATAAACTGACAAGAGCTCCGCCCTTAGGCTTGGCTAAATCTATATATTGCCGGAAATCCCATGCTTAAAATCAAAAGCCATTATAAATTCTACCTTTACACGAACTCACGAATCTGCACTTCTTTTACCAACAGTCGGCTCCAGACATTTGTTTTTATCCGGTTAAGAACGTCGTCTTTCACTGTCACGGAAGTGCGAGAGAATTTTATGCTCTAACAAATCACCAGTTTTTTTTTTTAATTAAATAATTAATTTTTTTTTTTTTTTACCGCTAATATTTAGTTAGGAAAGATAAACCCTAAAATATATTTTGCGCGATTTCAACTGCGTGTGGGTCCATTCTATACATGACCAAAAAAAACAACATTTCAATGAGAACCTCTTGACGGTAAAATTAAAACTATTGGTGCTGTCTCTGGAGATAACAGGAACACTTGACTACCACCACTTGCAAATATGTGAGGCAACGGTGCTTAAAAACATGCGCAGCGATATCAATCTTGAAAAACATATGCCTAGTGGTATCAGTCTTGGAAAAAAAAAAAAAAAAAAAAAAAAAACGCTTGTACCTCGTTTTTTGTAGAGTTCTCAATTTTCTTCTCTATCGCCATCAAAAAATACTTTTTGGGATGCCTTTTTGAATAACACATCATTTGAAACCGGGAGAATTACAATAAGAGGTACTAGAATGGGTATAGGTTTGTAGCAGAAAGCTGTTTGATATACAACAAAGCATCTTAAAGAAACCTTTATGCAGTGCTTGGATCTAATGCTTACTTCTTTATGTCAATCAATGCTAGAGCTTTTGAATCTAAAATTTATACCAACTGTTAACCCACTGGGTTTTTAGGCGACGACACTTAAGTTTACAAACAGCGAGAACTCCCGAAAAGTTTATTCTTTATTATCATCGTCCTTCGTACCAAAAATAACTCCACCTGGTCTACAATCTAGGAAAGAATGTTACAATCCTTTCCAGTCTGGACATTTTCGTATTTTCATATTAGTCCTTGCCTTTATCTTACTCCCAAACACGTGAATATGGCTACGGCCCTGAAATACTTGCATCGTTTTACAACGGGAACGACGACGCATGATCACGGTGTTTTCAGAAGAAGTTTGGAGCAGACAGACTTGAGGATTCTCTTTCCACCATTTTGCTTAACAAACGAGCTTCAACTTCTTTGAATTTTAGGCCTTTGGTAAAACGTAAAGTTTTCTGAGAAAGGCGAACAGAACGCTGGTCCAAATCTGAGTCAGCTAAGCGAGATCGACAAGTATTACGTACTACACATTGTTTAGGTGTTAACTTTATGAAACAAGAATTGAAAATGCTGCAATTTAAAAATTAGTTCTCTTGTTACCGGAATTAGACCAAAATGTTCTTAAATTCAGTTTTCTGAAGTCTTAATGATTTATGCGTGTGGCGTTAAAACAATGAAACTTGCATCTGCCCAATTGATGCTGTTTAGAAACATTGAGAGATAGTTTTTACGACGTTTACTTTTTTCTGTTAGTTCCAGAGGATCAAGTTGCTATAATATGCAGATTTGAAAGATGACGAAATCACAGACTCAATCTATTTGTGATCGACCGTAAAAGAAAAACATATTTAGCAAATTAGTGGCTGGATCTTCTGATTTTTTGAAGACATCATAAAATGTGTTCTACATGACTTCGAGGTTGATTCAAAAGGACTTAAGTAATGTTTAAAAAACGAGCAGGAGTGTTTTATCGGGTTTAAAACCACGAGGTGTTTTTGACCCGATAAAACACGTGCTGCGAGTTTTTTGAACGGCTTCAAAAACATTCTTGGAAAAGCGTGTGTCAAGAGAGTTCATAACAATTATGCTTTTGTGAACGTTAGAAATTAGCATACGAGAAAAACATTAGGGATTAAATTAGTCAATCAAATCTCACACGTGTTTTGTACTTTTCTTCTACTAACCGAAGAGGACATGGCGTCCTGTTCCAGAGCTTTTCGGAAGCCTAAAAATGAGAATTTTTCCAAATGTATAATTCACAACTGTACTATTAATTTGGTGCAAAAGTAAATTTACTGTGTGAAAT